TTTCTATCATGAGAGCAATTGGGGGTTTGTATGATCATCCAACAAGTCTTCAGTTTAAATATCGGCTGCGAAATCATCTTATGGGTCGAAATGATGAAATTATTTCAGAATCTGCAAATATACAACAAGACCAATCAAATATTGTACCTCACATTTCACCAAATGAAGACATTAGTGCCGTTTTGAGTGGTCCCAACAACCCAGATCTAGACCATGGAGAGCCTTATTCTCGTTACTTTGTAGTTACTAGAGAAATGTTGAGTACACTTAATTCACCTGATGTTGAAGTTGTTTATGAAGATGCTATTGCAGATGAAAATATGGAGGAGTTACGCTGGGATGGACTGGAGAATTTGGCTGGCTTCATTGCATTCAAGTTGAGAAAAAAAGAACAACTAGGGTTCATTCCAGATTGTAATGATACCTCTTTTTCATGGACGAATCATTTGACTGAAGGTGGATTACAAAAGCCTACCTTAGAATTCCTAACAAAATGCAATGAGCTAGACCAATTATTCAACAAATATAATGGAACTTCTTTAAAAATTGAGAAAAATTACCTAAAGAATTTGTCTAAATTAGCAGAGACTATTGATTTAAGTGATGATGCCAAAAATCTCTTTTTCAGATGTAAAATGTATTTCAAGATAAGAATCCTCAACAGACAAATTAAAGAAACATCAAACATTAGGAAACGTAAAATGAGCAAAGTAGTAAAATAAAAGATATTCTTGAGTTTATTGAATTGTTTTATTTGAGATTTCCCCAGAAAATCATGCTTAACATAAATTTGATTACTTTTATTGAATTGTTGATACAAAATATTATGAAAATTGAATTGAAAAAAAGAAATTATGAAAATTGACTTCAGAGATGCATTCTTGATCTTTTGAATGGAATTTTTGGAAAAACAAATACTTTTCAGTACTTTGAACAATATTTACATGAAATGATGAACAGTGTCCTTATTAATAAAGGCATCCAGTGAAATAAAGCATTGTTATATTCTTTATTTTCTCATTCTATAATATTTGATTCATCCCAAATATAATTCTAAGACACCTAATCCACGAATAATAGGCCCATCGTAATTCAATCATAACAAAATCATCAAAGATTCTAATAAATTGCTCCAGAAGATACGATTTACTGACCGCCGCCAAGAATATTTGTCTCTCAGTGACGTCATGCGCGAAGCTGTTCAAAACGCGTACGCCAAGTGATCATATCTGCTCTTGGTTTTAGTATCATGAGACTGCCTAGCGGTGGAAGAATAGCCATCAGAAGGGAAAATGGGAAAGTAGTGATAACACGTACGGGCCGAGGAACGAAGGGAGGAAAGGACTGACCCTGAAAAGGTTATCTAATGTAGTAAAATTCGTATATTGCTTGTAGATATATAGATTTAGATTGCATATATTTTAAATATTCAAATAAAATCTGATTTTATCAAACTTCATCATATACATAAACAGAAATCAAACTGATGTTTTGATTTCAAACAGGGATGAAAGGGATGTAGTGATTTGAGAAACTAAAGGTAAAAATTCATCAAGAAATGTAAATTCAAAAATAAGCATAAGAAAGAGAATAACAAACAGTCCACTACAGTAATAACTCAAATCATTATCTGGATAGCTGAACGGCTTATTTGATGGTCCAAAGCACCAATAAATTATAGCAATTAATTATATTTGTGAATTCACGACATGTCGACACTCATCAAAGGATGACGCAAGGTTGTTTGACTGCGAGAATCCGCTATTGGATGATATAGGACCATAAGCAAATAAATAGCAGAGCTCGCGAAAAATTAGGAGAGATAGTAATCAAACGTCGTTCGAAGTAACATCTCTTACTAAAGCAATGTAGTTAGATTCTGCTTAACGTAAAAGAGTGAAAGTGCTGACAACTAAAGTAGTAGCCTAGTATATTATACTGCGAGGTCACCTGAGAATCTCTGTTTGGGTACCTGTGATATTTGCTTCATTAAAGCTGGTCAGTAACAAATATAAGAACCATGAAGGGGTACAGCCAGAGCCGTAAGAAAAACCTTTGGAAAGCAAGTGAGAAACTGACTTTTATTATGGCCTAATACTTCGAACTCAGTCAAACAACTAGCCTTTTGAGGTCTAGGGTAGATAGGTAGATTTAAGTAAGGTTAGCAGCATACTTAACTGTGAAAGGGTATGCTTACGTGTAGGAAACCTAGTAACTAAGTAGGGGAACTTAAAGGATAGTTAATTCTGCGAGGATTTATAGCACAAGGGTCTATAATTTATGAGTTTCTGTGTAATAAGGGGAAATTATTCATGACTTCATATTATCAACAAGTATGTTGCAAGTAGTATAGGATATTTATATAGACCTGTGGCTATCATATTGATTCTTTAAAAGTAACGACGGTTGACGGACTAATTTAGGGAGAAATTCGTCTATGATTCACTGTATACCTTGAGATAGAATTCGGTCAATATTGTGGTGTTCTGTAATAGCATATTTCATTAATTATTATAGAATCAATGTTTAATTTTGAGTTTAATTTATACAACCTGCCTGCCATCTAGCCGAACTCACACGAATTAAAAAATCTGTCTGTTTCCTTCCCCTGGTATTAAGCTCCGCTCGGCTAAAATATACCATCCAGCCAATATACAGGGGGTGGAGCAGTACAATTGCAGATCGCCAGGTAGTGTTCATGATGCTATAGTATTCAGAACATCTCCAGTACCTATTTGAAGTACTTGAAGAACTGTGCAGTCCAAACTTCTTCCTCATTGAAGATTCAGCCTATCCTTGTTCGAGATGGCTGATATGTCCACTCAGAAATAATGGAATGCTTACTGATCCTCAGAAACACTTTAATACAACTCTTAGTAAGACGAGAGTAGCAATAGAAAATGCCTGTGCCCTTCTGAAAGGTAGATTCAGGCGGTTCAAATACTTAGAAATGTATGATTAGGAAGAATTGGTGAATACAGTAATATGATGTTGCACTTAACATAATATATGCATTGCACAAAATGAAGGAGATGAATTCATTCAAGAGAGATTGGCAAATGTTGAAAGAATTCATGATGCCATAGACTACCATGTTGCAGCTAATGAGGAAGATAATGCTAGAGGTGCTGTTATCGAATACCTTTGGCAGTTAAGAAATCCAATTGGTGATTGAATTCCTTTATAATTTGAATATCATGTAGTTTATGTGCAAATAAAACATCAAAAAGAGATAGTGATTATTTTCATGAGCTGAATTATAAGTGGAATCCAATATTTTCCTTGGAACATGGAATAATTCAGAGGACATTGTGAAATTCTCAATATATATTTTCAAAAATAGTGAACAAAATAATCTCAAACTAAAGAACGAAATAAAATGGACTAGTGAAATTAACACAAACTTTTTAGGTTTCGTTGACCCACAACTTTAAACTTATCCAGACAAATCTAGGATTCTTTGTCGTCTTGTTTGTCATCCAACTTTGTTAGGATTTTTTGCATGAATGATTTCAAATCTTCATGCTGATTTTTTAGCATTTCCATTTTTTCTTTCTCTCTTTGCTCTGTTTTACTTTCATGTGTTTTCAAGAAGGTTAATAACTTTTCTGTTTTCTTTTTTGGGGTTTTCTTCTTTACTCCACCTTCTGGGCTATCATGAGATTTATTTTGCTTTTCTAAAAATCAAAGCAAATTTAATGAGAACACAGAAAGCAATTTTCATAAACTAGAAAAAAATCAAAAACTCATGGAGAATTCCAGAATCTTGAGTACATAAAATTTCCACTCAAATGCAAGAATAAATTATAAAAATATCAGTTACCCTTCAATTTTTCTTGAAGCTGATTACGTAGACTACTGTTACCAGTGTTATTAGCCAACTGTAAACTGGAACAACTAGCCCTAGATTCTACATTTGGTCTATCACCAATAATTTCTGACATCAATTGAAAATACTTCCATGTTCTTGCCTCATTTCCAGTTTTTTTATTATGGTTTTCGATATCTTTATATTTTTTGCCAAACTCTTCCATTTGTTTTCAGCTTGTGCCATTGAAATAACATATTCCACATTGCTAGTTATATTTATATCATTACTTATTGATTCAATTAATGTTTTCTTCTCCATTTTGGGATCATTCAGTTTTGATTTATATTTATACACAGTCAATCAGAAGAAGTGTTTCGGAATCTGTCCATTCTTTTCTTAGAATAATTAATGGTATAAACAAACAGGAAGAATTAATTTGTTTCAAAATATACTTACGTTCATCGCCTTTGCAGGAACCACATATAATTCCTGATGAGATCAGGTCCGCAGATTTATCTTCTTGTGAATCAGGGGCGTCATTTAGGGGGGGCAGGGGGGGTCAACTGCCCCCCCCTGGTTTCAGACAGCGACAATTCGATGCCAGAGATCCTAGCCTCTTTTTCGTTGAATTATGTGAATACGAACCTTGGAGCGAAGAGCAAAATAATTATATAGGGTGAATATAGAGTGACTTGTAACTCCCCAGTCAACAAGTAGCAGAAATTGAAAAAATACGAAAATTGTCGCTCAATCCACTGGACATACCTTGATTCCATAATTATGGTTTTACTTTACATTAGGCTTGTTCGCGTTCCATTTATAAACATAACTGACTATACTGATTCTTAAAGTTCCGTGGAACTGCGCATGCTTCTGATGGTTTCGAACTCGAACTGTTCATTTTTCTAACGCGAACAAACCGATCGCCTGATTGTAGGTGTTATGGAAAGGGGCAGTCTGGAGTCTGACAGTCTGTAGGAGTATGTGTCGTTCGTCGTTCGTATAGTGGCTCTGTAGAGGGTTAAGGTTAGAAGCTCCGTTACAACACGTTCGATTATTTGTGCCAATATCATCTTGCTTTTGTTACCGCGTGAGACGCGAATCGCAAATTGAAATCCTAATAGGTAGGACGGGCATTATTCCCTTTTTGACAATTTCTGAACTTATTGAGCTACTCGATTCCAATATAATGAAAAGATCGGCTGGCTCAAGAGGCCTGATGGAAAATTGGCTGAAGAATTGCAACAAAAAAACTGTCACTTTGAGTGATCGTTGTGAGACTGATAGCGAGCAACCGAATATTGAAACCGGAAGTGTCATCGATATTCGTTCAAATGCTGGTCATCCTAACAGGGTAAGTTGACTGCTGATTTCGAATAGTGTATTAAGATTTATTTATTTAAAATTGCAGTTGCAATCTACAGCGTCTGCCAGTTCGAGCACTTCGAGCAATGATAATTTAAAGATAACATCAAACTTATCATTGTCTCACAACCACCCTCCGGCTCAACCGATTATTTCCGAATTTCCAGTAAAAAATGGCAGAAGATTCAATCCCGAGCACTACAAAATATTCAGATGGCTTGAATACTCCATTGAAGATGATTCTGTTTACTGCTATGCATGTAGACATTTCTGTAGAAATACTGTATTTGCTGGACAATCCTACGGAAAAGTAGCGTTTGTTGACTATGGTGTGAGTAAGTGGAGAGATATCAAATCCATACTTCAACAACATTCTGTGAGTCAGAAACATATAAGTTCTATGACATTTTGGACAAATGCCACTGCAATTCAAAATAAAACTTCCCAAAACATAGCAAATACGTTGAACGAGAACCGCGCCTGTGATGTTGAAGATAACCGCCGGCATGTTCGATGGTTGATTAAAGCAACTTGTTTCCTGGGGAGGCAAGGACTAGCTTTTCGGGGGAAAGATGAAAGCGAAAATTCTAGGAATAAAGGAAATTTCATTGAGCTGCTAGAAATTTTCTCTGATGAAGATAAGAGGTTGAAAGAAAAATTGTCTCTACGATATGGTCACTACACTTCCCCAGAATATCAAAACGACTTAATCGCTACAGTCGGTGCTCTTACAAGACAATCTATTCTAGACAAGATGTCATCGCATGGGTTTTTCTCTATTTTAGTCGATGAATCGAAAGATATTTCAAAAAAGGAACAGTTGTCATTTGTTCTCCGGTTCGTGGATAAATTAGGTAATGTCCAGGAAAGAGCTTTGGGTTGTTATCATATGAAAAAATCTGATGCTGCAAGTTTATCTTCAGAGATAATAAATATCATGATGACCTACAAACTGGATTTGAAAAAGTGTATTGCTCAAAGCTATGACGGAGCATCAGTAATGAGTGGTGCATTGTCAGGGGTTCAGAAGAGAATACGAGATGTTGCTCCAAACGCAATTTATGTACATTGCCATGCACATAGGTTGAACCTTTGTTTGATTGCCACAGTTAAACACATTAAGGCAGTGAGCGATTTTTTTGACATTGTTCAAAATTTATATACTTTTATAATGAATGGTCAGACTCGATACGAAATGTTCGTTGAGTCACAGAAACAACGAAATGAATCTGTTATTCATTTAGAGAGATTAGTGGATACTCGCTGGTCTTATTGGTATAAGTCACTGAAAAAGGTTAAAGTACGCTATATGTCAATCAAGGATACATTGACAGCCCTATCTGACCAATCAGTTGATGAAGTGGTACGAGCTGAAGCTACTGGTTTACTGGCAGAAATTTCCAGGACAGAATTCACTTTAACTTTGTGCACTATGGAATCAATACTAGAAAAAGTTCATGCCTTGTCTTGTGAGCTTCAAAATACAGAGCTCAATATAGTAGCAGCACTCAAATTGGTCAATTGTACCAAAAAAATGTTAGAGAACATGAGGAATGATACCTCATGGAATGCAATAAAGGACACCGCCACGATAATGAACTCCGATCAAGAAATGACTATTCAACGTACCAGGCACTCCAGGCAGAGAAAATATAATAGCAGATTAACCGATTATTTTGTTGATAGTACTATAGGCAAGAACGATAATCCTGAAATCAAAATTGATGTATTCTTCATGGTCCTAGACAGGTTTATTTCGGAATTAGATCGGAGGTTCTTGGATCACAATGAAATACTGAATTCCTTAATTATATTTGATGTCAGCTCTCATAATGAATTCCTGAACATAGATTCTGCGAAGCCACTTATAGAGCATTATAATCAATCAATCAATCAAATTGATTCAATCCGTTTATCAAGCGAATTCACTACAGCCAAGCAATTTTTAGAATCGGATATGCATGTATGCAAAAATATTATAGACATTAGAGATCGACTGAATGCATTACCAGAAGCTTTTAGTGAATCATTAAAATTAATAGATTTGGTTCTTACCTTACCCGTAACAACAGCTACCAATGAAAGATTTTTTTCTTCAATGAAAATAATCAAAAGTTATTTACGGAGTACTACTGCAGACAATAGATTGAGTGATTTACTCGTGATATCTGTTGAATCGGATGAAGTGAAAAATATCGATCTTGACGAAGCTGTTGATCATTTCGCCAGGATGAAAAAACGACGATATCCTTTGTTGAATTAACTAATTGTGAATTTACTACTCCTTTGTGATTACAACGTCAATGTACCTTTATTTCTGTGACATATTTATTTGATTTAGAATTCTTATTTATTTTTGTTTTTGTTACGTTTGTTACCAGAGAGTTATTTCTAAGTTCAATGCTCAATATAATATCATATAATGTGGTTTTTTGTTTTGTTATATCTACCTGAGTTGGTTGTGTCCAAACCTATTTATATTGAATGAAAACTCCTCAAATTCATCGTTGTATAAGTAAGAAAAGTTTTTTCTGCACATAGAATGCATGAAAATCTGCATCTGCACATACTGGTTGGGAAACTTTACTTTCGATTTGAAACCATTTGACCTTGAAGCAAAAAAAATTTCGCCTGCGGCGCACTTTTCTCCTGACCTCATCTTGCCCCCCCCTGACAAACTCTGAAATGACGCCCCTGTTGTGAATCAGACAGACTTCCTGTTAGCAGATCTTGGGTTTCATCTACATATTCATTATAGTCAGGATATAATCGACTTTGGCTTACGCTGGCAGTTTGGCTTTCTGTATCTTCAGGGTAAATCCAGTGTTGTGTCTCATCTGAGGCAAACAATTCATGATCAAATATACGATATTTCTATATATAACTTATAGATCTTACCACTCTCTCTTACTACCAGAATAGCATCAGTTTCATTTCGGATCAGTTATCCATCAATTTCTATGAAAGAATATCCTTCGGGTAGATCCATGGTAAAAGTATAATCATGTGACAAAATTATTCAAGAATAATATAACAAAAAGTAAAAACCATAAACCTAACCTCATAATGTTAGAAAAGCGCTATTTCACATTTGTTTTTCCACACGCGATACTACCAATCTACCTGCTGCTCGATCCAAATCCATCGAGCAGCTAGAGCAAATAACTTTTGAAATTCTTGGCGGGAAACAACAGAACAGGTCAATAAAACGATTAGTTTAGGTATTCCGGAATGAGGTTAGAGGCAACAAAACGCACCTTATGATTTATATATGAGTAGTAGATATATGAAGGACACATACTTCTGTGTCAGATGTCAGCTTAAGACAGATGACATTAGTTCCGTGTCAGGAGAAGGGGAGCATAGAAAATAGCCAGGAGTTGAATGATGACTGTAGAACAAGATTGTTTATTCTTACAAGTTACACTTAAATAAAATATAAAAAAGTCTAAAATCTTGTTTGAATAACATGACATGGCGCTGCGAAATTGAACCTGAGAATAAAAGCAGCTGGAACTAGTGTGTTCATTGACAGAAGAATACGAAAATAAACAGGAACTATTGTGTTCATTTTACGTTCCACAAACGCCTTTGTGAACGATAAAACAAGATGGAGAATCTCAAACAGCCAAGTGAGTTATCCCTGTCTGGAGATGTAGCTGAAAATTTCAAGCGCTGGAGGCAAAGATTTGAATTATACATGGATGCCACAGGAACTGCCACTAATGAAAATATTAGTGAAGAGAGAAAAATTGCTTAGTTATTGCATTGTATTGGTATGGAAGCACTAGAAATATACAATACTTTGGAAATTACCCAAGAAGAAAGAAAGGATTATGTAACAATCCTAAATAAATTTAAGCAATACTTTATACCCACTTCAAATGAGACCATCAACAGACATGTGTTCAACACAAGAACACAAAAAGATGGAGAACCTATTGACTCATTTGTCACTGATTTGAAAAGACTCAACCAAGATTGTAACTTTGGTGATCTGAAAGACAGTCTTATTCGAGATCGGCTAATTTGTGGAGTAATGATAAAAACATCAAAGACAGACTCTTGCGAGAACCCAATTTAGATTTGCAGAAATGTATAAACATACAGGGTGTAAATTTGAAAACTTCCAATGCGTATATCTCGCGAAAGAAAAAAGTTAGAAAAACGCCGTTTGGCAAAAATGCTAAGTAAAGAGTTAAGGGGAACTAGAACCACCATATTTCGGTCAAGGGATGAGTCAACCCGTCGGGTGATGCCTCAAATGAACAGTCTCAGTCAGTAGTATTCACCTGCACAAGACTTTTTTTCCACCCACTACAGGGTGTACGAAAAATATGAAGTAGAATAAAATGAAATGAATTGTGTTAAAAGGATATTTTATTTGATCAGATGTTCAAAATGCATTCCATTCTGTTGTAAGCAATAGTATTATCGATGTTCAAATGCCATTCTAACATTTTGGAACAAATCTCTCGGAATATATCGGCATTCTGCATTTCATTTCATTCGACTCTAGTTTTCAGTTCACCCTGTAGTGGGTGGAAAATAAGTCTTGTACAGGTGGATACTACTGACTGAGACCGTTCATTTGAGGTATCACAAAAGATGTAGTGCCATTTGACATTTCAAAGATGGAGTGTGTCGCGCCGACGGGGTAACTCATCCCTTTACTGAAGTATGGTGGTTCTAGTTCCCCCTAACTCTGTAGCATTTGTGCCAAACGGCGTTTTCCTAACTTTTTCATTTAGCGAGATATTCGCATTGAAAGTTTTCAACTTTAGACCCTCGACTCAATGTTTCTCGTACACCCTGTAGTGGGTGGAAAAAAAGTCTGGTAAAGGTGAATACTGACTGAGACCGTTCATTTGAGGTATCACAAAAGAGGTAGTGCCATTTGACATTTCAAAGTTGGGGTGTGTTGCGCTGACAGGGTAACTCATCCCATCACTGAAATATGGTGGTTCTAGTTCTTTCTAACACTTCAGCATTTTTGCCAAGCGGCGTTTTTCTAACTTTTTTATTTCGCGAGATATTCGCATTGGAAGTTTTCGAATTTACACCCTGTATGCAAGGCATCAGAACTTGCTGAAGTACAAACAAGACAACTGCTTTCAGAAGAAGATAATGCTAGTGTGAATTTTGTCAGAAAAAGTAAACAAAATTCTTCACAAAATACACATAAGGCGTTTTCGGAAACCTACTCGGGTTGACCCTTGTTGACTCGATCCTCAACCTGCACGTTCGTTAACCTAACCCGAGTTGCATACCCGTGTTCGTAAACTTCAGTGTTGCCTACTCGATCATTAACTCGGGTTTGTCTATCGTCACCCTACTCGAAAGCAGGGTCATCAGAATTTACAAAGGCACCGCATGCGCATTACGCAAATAAAAAGAATTTGGTTATGTTATTATTTTGTTTTCGTTTTTGATCATTTGATATATTTTCAAACTGTAAACTGTAGTTAAAATTTGTGTATTGTTCGAGCTGGTAATAAATTATCATGAATAAAAGGAAAATTGCAATCTTCCAAACAATAACAACATTAACATTCGAAAATTGTTTTGATGATGATGATGATGAGATGGAGGAGGAGATATCACATTTGATGTTGTCTTCTGGTATAATCAACAAAAAATACTCTCCTAAACGAAGACGTGTTTGCATTGAGAATTATGTAGATGTGATTTTACACTATTCCACCTCAGGTAAAATAAACAGTTCACATGTGTCACAAATTCATCATAAAAAATTGATTTCATAGATTTCCAGTGTCATTTTCGCTTGGAGAGAAGCACTATTCAAGATATTCTTGAGAAAATAGGAAAACAAATTTACCAGGCAAATTCTCTTGGTGGTAGACCATCTTGTCCCCAGAAGCAACTATTACTTACCATATGGATGTTAGCAAATCAGGAGGTGTATAGGTAATGTTAATTTTCTTGTTCAGTTAATTTGTTATAGATGAAAAGAAGCTTTTTGATTTGGTGCATTTTGGAAATTTTCATGTTTTATATATTTGAAATATTTCAGAATGTCACATGATATTGTTTATACTTCTTGTTCCTGTTCGGGGGCTAATGAATATGTTACTCTAATATTGGTTTAGATCTAATTAAATATATTACTATTTTTAGATCAGTAGCGGACCGCTTCGATGTATCTTTGAGTACAGCCTGGGAATATTTCCAAAGAATCATCAGTGTTCTTGTTCAAGTGTCTCAAGATTATATCAAATGGCCTGAACAGTACCATAATGTGATTCAAAGCTTCAAGAAGAGAGGAGGAATTGATGGAGTCATAGAGGTGTTATTGATGGAACACATATTCCTATTGTATCTCCAACATTCATGCCAAACAAATATTTAAATAGGAAACAATATCATTCTATTGTTTTGCAAGCTGTTTCTAACTCTTCCTATATGTTCACAGATTGCTTTGTAGGTAATTTCTCGAGCATAATCTCAGCAGATTTTTGCAGCTTCACTATAACTGTAGAGTATATAAACATAACATCAAATTAGTATAATGATTATTTTCTTCATTTCTAGGGTGTCCAGGAAGTGTTCATGATGCCCGAGTATATAGGCTATCTCCATTGTTCAGACAAATAATGCCAGGTGTTGATGAAGCATATCATTTATTGGGCGATTCAGCATATCCAAATTCCATCAATTTAATTACACCCTATAGAGATAATGGATTTCTGACCCAACAACAAAAAAGATACAATTACCTCCATTCAGCAACCAGGGTTTATATTGAACAATCATTTGGGTTGCTGAAAGGTAGATTCAGAATTTTAAAATTCGTTAATGTTTACAGAACAGAAATCATACCAGAAATAATAATTGCATGTTGTGTTTTACACAACATTTGTATGGAGAATAAGGACAAGGATATTGAAATATATTTGGATGATTCAGATGATTCACAAATAACTAATCAAATAATTCCAGATGACCCTGCGTCATATAACAAAAGAGATACTATTTGTAAACAAATAACAATGTAGTGTTTTTACCTTATTTTGATTTATTTCCTACCAATTATTTTGAAAAATATTGAATGTGAATGAAGATATACTCAATTTTATCTTGAGAAATTACAAATTCAAATTATTTTGTAAATTATATTTCTCATTTTGAAGTCCTATGTTTTACTTTTCCAATGTTACCTGTTAGGAGAGAAGATTAATAAAATACTGCATATTATGAAAAAACTAATTTATTCACATACAAAAATATTGAGCATATTTTTCATCTATTAACCCAGTAGTTCAGGTACTGAATATCACAACAAACAACTTAAAACTAAATAGGTACTCCATATCACAACAAAAAACTTAAAAACTATTTTGCTTGAGTGGTCAACTGAATAGGTACTTAATATCACAACAAAAAACTTAAAAACTACTTTGCATGAGTATTCAACTGAATAGGTACTGGATATCACAACAAAAAACTTAAAAATTATTTTGGAAAACTAGGGAACCAAATTGGTAGCTACTTGATTACAGCAAAGAACTAAAAAAAAAAAGGAAATTTGAAGACAAGAAATTACTTTTCTGCCAATTTCTCCAAAATCTGTAATAGGCTATCCTGTCTTTTCATTTTCTCCTCATGGCGCTTTTGGCAATCCTCCCTGAACTTCTTGAACCACTCAGGTTCTTCACCAGAACGTTTCTTCCTCTTTACTCCATGAGGAACATTCTAAAAACAATACCAGTTCAATTATGCTAGTAAGGAAATAACAATAATTAACATGTATTATATAGTCCCAGTGCTCATTCAATGATTTTCTGACCTACCAAATACACAAGCATATATTTACAAGTATGAATTCAACTGGAATTACCTGTACATTCTAATTTGAGGTACTTATATTTTCATGTGTGTCCTTGTCAACATGATCAGATGTTGATGGGCCTTCCAAGTTACTACATGTTGAAATTGGATTCACATCTGGATCTTTGGCAAAAA